TGCATTTCAATACTTATTTTCGCTACATGAATAACCCCATAAAACAACACATGGGAAAAATAACACACTCATCATAATCCTTAATCCTCTAAGAGGTTTCCTCTTTAACACAAAATTATTAAAAGGGAAATTTTTTATATTTTTCTAGGCGAAGGAAAGCGTCCAAATCAAAACTATCTCCCATGCGACTGCAAAGCAATGATTCGTCTAAACTTCAACTTTTCTGAGCAATGTCTCAGAATCACTTCGATAGAGACACGTCACTCAAATCACATGCTCGAGAAGAACTTGTACGGAAAGATGGTGGAGAAGGAGGTAAAAAGGAGAAAGCTTTCGATGTTCCATTCGCAAGGTTGCCAACCGTCTACTTTTACCAATTCCATTAAACAAGAACGTGCACCATCCGAAGAGAGTGCCGAGTCGGAACATACTGAAAGTCAGAGTCAGAGTCCTGTGCGTTTTGATACGTATGATGCAGCTCAAAGCTTTGAATCGAAACCACAACTCGTGGCTGGGCAATTCTTCCAACAGCAATTCAATCAGTTGCAACAGCAGCCAATCGTGGCAGGGCAGACCTATCAGCAGATTTGGCAGGTAACTTGGTGATTCATAATAAGGACTTTTCTATAACAATTTCTTCTTCAGACCATCGGCCAAGTGGCTCCCACTACTTATGCAACTACCGCCCCCTACAATATCTCCAACACTTGGAACCATGCTCCATTTTCTGGAAGTCTCCCAACAAACTCAATATCGACGGGAACAGCTTCACAAATCTCTCCCATCTCATCGACCGCTGATGAGAACGACGTACCTCGCGGGCGTTTGGGCACTGTCAGTCGACCGATTCCACTTCGTCCATCAGAAAATCGTGCGTTCACCGATATGCTGAAATCCACGTCGTCTATACCGAAGACAGAAATTGATGCAATTTTGAGATCCACGTCACTGATGCTGCACGATGCCAACTTACCAAACGACGTTCTTGAGAACCGCATCAAGCAACTGAACAACCTAATCTCCCAATGGAGTCAGTAATTTCATAAAAAACAAATTCTTAAGATACTTCTGTCCCACCGTCTCACTCTCTCTATTCTGTCCCTTTGAACCCCGATTTCACAATCACAAATGTCGGGTAATTGAAACTTAAATCTGGATTACGTCTCTCATCTTCTCTCACTTTAAAACAACACTGAATAAATACGATTTTATTTAAAGCAGGATTCAATAAAAACCAAAAAGAAAATCACGGAATTTTCAAAAGGTTTTTTTTAAAGAGTAGTATACATATCAAAGTCATTATTTATCATCACTGTGTCTGGAACGTTTTTCCATGGAAAGTCTTCTTCTCTCCTTTCACCTCCGGGCGCGCACGGTTCAATACCTTCAGGAAATCAGTTGTCTTGGCACGCATTCTAGTGTGCAAATACACTTTGGAGCACTTGATATGGTAATGCAAGTAGTCACGGAATGAGTGAATCAGGTCGATCGTGTTGTCTCGAGTCTTCTTGTTGGTGTGTCTTGGGAAAAGCACGAATGTGATGTATCCAACGTTGTCACCGACACGAGCACCGGGGAGATCCTTCAACTCCAGCGGTGGCTCTCCGAGCGAGTAGAGAACTGCTGGAGCAGTCTGAGACGCTTTGCGACCCTCGCGGAATTCTTGCAAAAACACTTTTCCGATAATAACGTCATCCGCGTCTTTGAATACTGTACTGAAAATTACTGTCACGCGGTCGGCTTTCGCTTCAATGTACCTGAAAAAGTTTAGTACATATAATTTCCATCCTTGTCAATATAATTTCTAACATTGTCTCATCTTCTCTGTAATTAATGACTGCTCGTTTGTGACCTTCTTGTCCGGTTTCCTGAAACTCGAAATACTTCTCGAACACCGATGCGAAGCAGTTCCTCTTCAATGCCGACGCCTTCTGCACCAATTCCAATGAATTATCCGGTAGAGCAGTCAAATCGTATTCCAGCGTGACGTTGAATCCAGGTTCCGGTGTGGCTCGCATGTTCTGTCCATACACTTTTCGGAGAAGCTGAAAGTATAGAGTTTATTTTTTTTCTGAATTTTAACTCACATCATCCGCGCCATGCTGCTGAAGTTCGGTGTAAAATTTCAACGAAATGCTGAGCTAAAATTAGTACATTATGGGGATTAAAAAAGTATTTCTTACGATTATTTTGGTTTTCACACCATCCGGGTTCGATACTTTGTACATGACACCATCGAAATCGGCAAACGTCACATTGACAGATTCTGGTTTTCCACTGGAAAATGAACATTACGACTCTCAATAAGAACACATTTCGAAACACAAACCCTTCTTTCGCATTCGCAAATTTTTGCTCGAGAAGCTCCACAATGATTCGGTTATTCTGCTCCAAGATAATCATTTTTGATCGACCTGGAAAAAAAAGTAGTTTCACAGAAATGATGAAGAGAAAATAGTGTAATTAAAAAGGAATTAGCATCGGATAGAAAACCGGATAACTGGTTCCATAGAAGGGACACAGTGGAAGAATTCATTCAGAATATAGTAAAAGGTAACAACAGAAAAGAAGGAAAAAGAAGAAACAGAGCATATAAAATCAACAAGAAGAGGCGCTGACTAAGTCACTTATTTACTCAATCGGCGAAGAAAAAAAAGACGAATAAAAGCACCCTAATGTCCGACAGGGCGCACTTGCTCATAGTTTCCTCTCCTTCACACTGTTGACAATTGCCTTATGAATCGCTGGTACGATTGTTATCGCTCGTTGTCTTGCAAACTCCAGAAGCGGTCTCGCGGCTTTCAGTGGAATGCGCCCGTATAGATCCACACAAGTTGTTTGATCTAGGTTGGGAACGAAGGCAAATGTGACACCGCCTAAGATACCACTGGATTCAGATGTACTCGGGTCGGTGATGTAGTCGCCATTTGGCCTGAAAAATTTAATTGATTTTCAGTAGTCTCAACTAATTTGTTATAGTCCTAGAAATAACGGGTTAAGAAGAAGATCCAAATAGTATCAAAAAAGTTCGTAGTTAAAAGTTGAAGTAAGGTGTAGGACTTAGGTTTAGTGTACGAGTTCTTGTATATACCTACCTCATCGCCACATGTACACTAGCTGTCAATCCCATGTGCTCAATTCCAGAATGAGCCAAAGCAAGCGCCATCGCAGTGATAGCTGTCGAGAGAACACCCCCATCATCAGACAACACGGTAATCTCGATTTCGATCACTTTTCCTGGGTACTTATTCACGAAGATTACGGCCGAAGCAGAAGACGTCAGCTCGGCACGCCATTCGGCCACGCTCGTCTCGTTCTCAACTCCTTTTAGAGTTACTACCACTTTCGCGTGATCCTCTTCCCATTTTCCATCTCCGTCTGGACCTAGACTGTAAAACAATTTCGAAATTAATAAGTATTTATAAGACACAGAATTTCGAGGTTTTCATGCATTCCCCTTTAAATCTGAAAAACTTACATCTGTGCCAACACCCGAGTATTTCCGAATTCAGCGTAACCGGAACCATCTTGTGCACCGAAAACACCGCATTTGACAGATAACGGTCTAAATGCTGTTGAGCTTCTCTGTTCTACCTCTTCTGTATCCATACGATCATCGTCGACACGACTGAGATGAGTCAGCAGAATGCTGAGGTTGGAACGGTTTGTCGGCATCTGGAAAAATATAAAATAGAGAATTCCGAGAAAAAGTATAGATGATAAAATATATATTATGCTTGTCTGAGAAAAAAAAAGGTTAGAGAGTATTTTTTGCAGTCTTAGTACGGTAGCGATTTCGAAGCGAAGAGCCTAAATAGCACACAAACGGTGGAGACGCAGACACTTTTCTCTGCGTCTCAAACTTTTTTTTTCTCAGACAAGCATAATAGAGAAACTCCAAAAGATACTGACGGAATTTCGTATTTAAGTGATCATCGAACAATTGCAAGCAGTGGAAAAATAATTAACGGCAGAAATGAGCCTTTGCACCGAAAAAAATAACAACCATCGAAAGGAAAAAAGTAAGACACACTTCATTTAAAAGCTATCCATTTATCAGTACAACAGTTAGGAAAACAAATCAGAGTGTAATAACGTCATCGTCATCTCCAACATCTACTTCTTCGTCTGAACTTGTCACCGCAGCTTTTCGCTTTCGATTATTTTCCTCAGCTCTGCCCTTCTTAGTATTATCAAGAGTCATCGGAATTTCATCTTTTCTGTTATAAACCCTCCACTTCAACCCAACAACCACGTAGCTGATAACCGAGTAGACCGTGTAGTGGAAATCTTCTTGAAGATAAGATTCCAGAAGAAGATGAACAATGAGCTTCTCACAAAAATCTTTGGTGCGTCTTCCCTTCAACTTCTTGGATAACAAATCCAACAATTTGTTCCCTGTGATGCGTCCGCTTCCATCTTTTGCAGATGACAAGTTTTCTTCGATGATGTTAATGACAACTACTGCTTCCTTACTGACGTCTTCAGTAGCAGTTCCAGGAGAGTTTGACGACTTTTCGCACACGTCACATTGCTTCTGACACCACGAGGGCTCCCATGCTTCCTCGAAATGCTCCGCCAGTTTAACCCTTCTGCACGTCACAGTGTCTGACGCATAACGAACCATATTGTACAGATTAGCAATACCAGTTTGTTCCTGTTGTATCATGCTTGATTGTTTGAAGATATCTGACATCCGATAGTAGAGGATACACGTGGCAGGAAGACCATCTCTTCCAGCTCGACCACTTTCTTGATAGTAATTTTCGATTGATTTCGGAAGTGAGTGGTGGATCACGAATCGAACATCCGGTTTATCGATTCCCATGCCAAATGCCACAGTTGCCACAATCACTTGAATTTCTCCGGATACCCATTTCTGATGAGCCGCGCTTCTGTCAACTGGTTCCATGTAGGCATGATAATGCTTTGCACGAATCCCGTTGGCTTTCAAAGATTTTGCCAATTTCTCACAGTCATTTCGAGACAGACAATAAATGATTCCAGTCTTCCCGGAGAATTTTCTTTTGATAGTTCTAACAATTTTTTCCACACACTCATCTTCACTTCCTGGCTTCGTGAGCACTTTGTAGTTTAGATTGGCACGATTGAAACCAGCGCGGAAGACTATTGCCACAGGAATACCTAGCATTTTTTTGACGTCGTCTAGAACATTCGATGTGGCGGTTGCGGTGAGTCCAAGAATTGGAACACCCCTGTAAGTAAAGGCTTCAAAAAAAAACTGAACAGTAAAAAAAAACTAACTTGAACTGCCTTTTCAGTACATTCAAAAACGAATAATCGGTTCGGAAATCGTGTCCCCACTGTGAGCAACAATGCACCTCATCAATAGCGATCAGTTTCAAGTATCCCACTCCCAGAGACTTTTCTAGCTGGTTCATCATTCGTTTACTTTTGGCTAGTTTTTCAGGCGTCACATAGAGAAGACGGAGTTCCGTACTCCCCTTCGTAATGGCTTGCTCTACTCTTTTTGCCTCATCCTTCGGAGTGTTAGCATTCAGACTCGCAGCGTCGATTCCCAACTTTTGTAACTGCATGATCTGATCCTCAACCAGCGATACCAATGGAGAAATCACGAGTGTCAATCCTTTCGCTAATAGAGCGGGTAGCTGATAACATAGGCTCTTTCCACCTCCAGTGCTTAAAATCACTATTGCGTCCTCCTTACTCATCACTGCATTGATTGCAGCGCTCTGGAGTGGACGGAATTTTTCAAGACGAAATTTATTCTTCAAAATTTGATTCGCTTCATCCGACCATGGGAACGAATCTTGATCCCATCTATCCAATACCACATCAGAGTCTTCGTTGGTTTTCATCTCAATTTTTCGCTCTAGCTGAAAAAAATGAGCAATGACAAGTTTAATAAAATTGTTTTAAGTGTTCCTTACAGCTTGCTTCTTTTGAATTAACTCAGCTTTTTTTCTCCTTAGCTGGGAAATTTGTTGATCGATTTGAGAGACTTGTCCGTCGAGATCAGCAAGCTCTGATGACAGTTTGGAAAGTAGTACATTGCTCATGAGATCTGTAAGACAGTCTGAAATAGAAATTGCCAGCGAACCATAAATACAAAATGAGCTGTTCAGAAGCTTGATGAACGAAATAATTGATTCAGAAGATGATGTATCAGATGAACAAAAGGTGTTTTTTATTTGAGACACTCGAGGAAAGAATAATAATAATAATAATAATATATTTATTTGCAATGCATGGGGGAAATCGATAGATAATTTGGCAAGAAATGGGACCTGTACAAATAAAAAAGTAAAAGAATAAGAAACTATATGGCAAAAAGAATTAAAACAATAGCAACAAAATAACTAAAACAGCACACAATCACAAAGCGATGTCTCCTAGAGCTTCCATGATAGCTCTCTTCTTCCTTGACACTTCTCTACTCATTTTTCGTCCATCTTTCGCTCTGGATGTATGATATTTAGGCCACCAATTCACGCGACTTTTCCACTGAGGCACTACGAACGACGGATCCGACATCTCCAGCACTTTCTCCATCAGAACCCATGCTCGCTCGTTGAATCGATTCGTGTCAAAGTCCAAAAATTCGAACATGATTTTTAGCGACTTTTCCATTGTCTGCCGTACGGATCCGTACCTATTAACGTGCTTCAAAAAGTTGTCAACGCAATCCAACCATAGAAGTTCACTAGGATGCAGACAACCTTTGGAGGATTCGATATCGCACATTTGCTGAAGAAGAACTTCTTTTTCATGACCAACTTTGCAGTGATCAGAGAGTTGCAGCATTCGAGGACCCATCGACGGACAACGGGCGATGGTATCCGTGATTACTGTGGCACTGTAATTTAGTTAATTATTAACTGTTTTGAAAGATTTTTTCGCACATTTCATCATACTGCTGTCCACACTGATTTCGAATCTTGCATGCTGTTTCAACGAGCACAGTGCATGTCGCTCCAATATCCTCTGTCGTGCATTCTTCTTCCAACCTTTGAGCAGTTAGCATAAATCCTCTCGGATTTCCAGTTTTTTGATTGCGTTCGTATTTCGAGATTAGCTTCCAAAAATTGAACAACTGTCTGCCACGTGGATTTGCTGCGCGTTCTGTGAAAATTGTGTCAAACTCCTCCATTTCTTCTTGCGCCTGGTGGTAGTTTAGAGCCATCGCGCAGTTTAAAGATTCGTTCAAGAAATAGAATCCGTCGCCACCAACGTGAAGTGATCGCATTTGGAGTGTATTCGCATGTGTTGTCTGCACAATCTTCTCGTCCTGGATCTGACAATTCCAGTCATCTAGAACAGTCTGTAGTGCCATAGTGCTTGCTTCTGGCGCAATTGTAAAAGTGTCTCGCTCGATGAATAGAATTTTTACGTGTCTAGTACGGACATCTCGCGTTGTCTTGCATCCATGTCGAAAATGTCGCAACAAGCGATGATTGGATAGCAGATTTTCGATTCCTTGTCTATATCCGTTGTGATATAGATGAAGAAGTTTCAGACGCTGATAGCTGACAGTTTTTCTGAACAAAAAAGTTTCAATTAGTTTTCTCCTCTTCAAAAACCCACTTCACAATATTTTCATAGTTCGCTTCTTGACCAATTTTATATAGTACAGTGACTATATATTGGGCTAGATTCACTTGTCTCAAGGTTTCTGAGAGGTTTTTAAGTAGAACTGGAAGATTCGCAGTATCTCCAAGACTTCGAGGTGCCACATTTGAAGTCTTCGAAAATACACCTTCTGTTTGTACTGCTTCTGCTCCCTGGCATTGTAGAAATTTTGCGAACTTCTCATTAATACGAAAGCAAAATCCTTCTTTTGCAGCCAATGGATTGACAAACTTCGCGAGAACTTGAAGCCATTTCCCTGCTGAAATTTTGGCTTAACATCAGGGTAATTTTTTTAAATTTCTGCAATACCTTCTGTATCGAACGATTCTACCCATCGGAATACAATTTCTGCATCGATATTGGTGCTATGTAAGTCTTGGAACTCGGCAGAATCTATAAACTTTACTTCTAAATTGTCTTCGTCTTCTTGCGAATTTTGGAACATCTTTCATCGCGTGATTATACGAAAAAATGCAATGCAACGATACTCCGCAATTCCGCATCGCGCATTGTTTAGTGGCACCCGCGTCTCTTCGAAAATTAGACCTGCTTTTGTTTTTTGTATTGTTTATTCGCAAATCTTATTGATTTTGTTGGAAATCATGAAAAAGTAATTCCAAAGAGTCCTAATCTTTTAGAAAAGTCGGAATTTCGCCTGAACAACATAACAAATGAGTGTGTTTTCAGGGGAATGCAAATAACATGTTAATATCGAATATTAATGTTAATTTGGGTGAAAATATATCTGAAAAAAGCTACAAAACAAACTCTTACTTTTTAAACCTGTTTCACTTAAATTTTCGTCTTCCAATAAGTTTCCTCGCTCTCCTCACTTTTTTAAAATGAAATTTCCATAACTACATAGATAAATACTTTCTTTCAGAATGGTTGAAAAAGAAGCCGCAAAAAAGCGAGGTCGCTCTTCGTCTAGCAGCTCGTCCAGTAGCTCCGGATCATCTTCTTCTGGGTAAGCTGGTGCCCCATAATTTCTTCGTTATTGATTCCGATGAATTTTAGAAGCAGTTCATCCGGTTCGGGATCGCGATCATCCAGTTCCTCTTCTTCATCTCGCTCTCGCTCCCGTTCTCCACGACGTCGTGAAAATCGCCCAATTCGCGGAGGTCGGTCTCGTTCTCCAATTCGTCGTGGCTCCCCACCACGAGGAGCTCGTGCGGATCGAGGAGGTGGCCGCCCATCTCCCTCTCCGCCACGTCGTCGACATATAACCCCATCACCACCACGTCGTGGAGGACGTGATAGAAGTGGAAGTCGTCAGAGAAGGCGCTCTCCACCGGCAAGACGAAGCAGTCCGATGCCGGCACGCTCTTCTAGTCCTATAAAGAGAATAATCATTAAAAATCTGAGCAAGAATGTGATCCGTGAGCACGTCGAAGAGATATTCTCTATTTATGGAGCTATCGCAAAGGTCGACTTGCCACCAGACCGCAATCACACCCACATTCATCGTGGATACGGATACGTTGACTATCAGAATGTAGAGGATGCTGAAAAGTCGATAAAGTATATGGATGGTGGACAAGTCGATGGACAAATCATCCAGGTTGAAATGACTATCGGACGTCAGCAAACAGTTCGCCGTCAGATGTCACCAATCAGAAGACGTGCTTCACCACCGCCACGGGATAGAGACAGAGATAGAAAGTCGCCTATCAGACGTGGAGGAGGGTAAGAATCTGGACAGTTGAACATTTCTAGTGTCTTTTAGTGGCAATTACAGAAACAGAAGTCCACCACGCAGACGCTCACCAATGGGAGGTCGTGGATCTGGCGCCAACAACATGCCACTGGGGCCCAGCAGATTCCGCCGAGGAAGCCGATCTCGTTCACCAATCAACAGAAGATCCCGCTCATAAAATGATTCTGTATTTTCATTTTTATCTACTCTTTGTTACCCATGGAACAATTTCCCAAAAAGTCATTCCTGAATGTTTTTTTCAATGCAAATATCTCTTTCTTGTTGTCCTATTTTATGCGGAAAGATCTCCTTCTTGACTTTTTTGTTATTTTCGTTCAATAAATTCTTTTTGGGTCCACTATATTCACCGTTGCAAGGTACAGTCCTACGCTTGTTATCTTTTTCTGCTACCACTTCTAATGATATGCCGTATAATTCATTAATCTCAGATGACTCAAGACAAGCCGATAGTGGAGACGATTTCCAATGTCGGTGATCAGGTGACGAATGCGTTTGGACAATTCTGGCAACTGGTTACCTCGAAAAATCAACGAAAATCTGGACTCGAGTCGAAGCCTGTCAAAATTGATCAGGTAGTTGAGTGAAAGGCTTGGAATAAAAAGAAAAACTATTTCCAGCTCCCCCTCTACGCCGAGGATAATTCTCCAATCGCGCAAAAGTTCGTCCCAGAAGAGCCGTTGCCCCTTCAACGGGAATTTGCAACTGTACGTATCGCATGCCAGGAGGAGTACGCTCGTGTTGCCGAACGCTTCAAGGTGGTCGATTGTGCGATGACTCAAACCAAAAAAACAGCGAACAGATGCAACGAATATCTGACCGAAGAATGGACCGCTCTTCCAAAAGCAGCCGCTATTACTGTAGGTGGAATGGCAGGATTCGTTTTAGGACTGAAGCGTGGACCTGTTGGACGTCTGATGACCACAACTATCGGTTTGGCTACAATGGCCGCATTCTGCTATCCGATTGAAACTGTCGACGTGGCAAAAACCGGAAGAGCTCATGCTGAGCAGACGTGGCATTCATTCCAAGAATCACCTACACCAGTGACATCCATAAAAACTAACTTGAGCCCACCGAAATAATTTTTTGATCGGAAATTGTGTTCGAATCCACAATTTCACTTGCGAAAAAAGCGTTCTGTCTTTGCCCTATCCTTTAGCGGTTTTATTGTATTTTTTGTGTGCATCCGAGTTCCATCATCTAGATGAAAATCTATTCTTCAATTATTTAATTTGAAACAAATTCATTATTACAGGAATTTCATGCAAATTGATAAAAAGAAAACATTGCAATTTTGAGCAGACTGAAATATTTTAGAAATTTGGTGAGGCACTTTAAGGAGGGCGAAAAAACGTTCACCCGCAAAATACAAAAAGAAACTTAAAAAGTTATTGTGTGCTGAGGATTTCAGCACACTTTGGCACTTTTTCAACACGAGGTGAGAAGGTTAGACGGTGGTGCCAGTTGGCAGACTTAGGAAAAAAATGAGCAGGTTTTGGGGAAATGGGCGGGGGATTGAACAGTATATATATATTCATGGGCAACTTTCTGTGACTAGTTTTAGATCTTCTACAATCGTTCCATCACTTTGTCGTCTCGAACCTCGGCAAGAACAGTCCGAATTTATGTTCGATACCAGAGAATGTGGCGGCAGCTAACTTGTATCCACCGACATGATCTGGATTCGTTGATGACTCGTCTTGAATTGTTTTCGTTGTCGCCAACTCGGAACCAGTCGGACGGGAACCAGCGAAATCTACATAGAACAGACGTTGGAGTACTTCGTAGGTGAGCAGTGTGACGGCGAATTGAGGACTAGAACGACACACACGGGCAGCAGTTCCTTTCCAAAGTGACATTGGTCCCTCTTCTTTCAGTAGTTTCCGTGCACAGTCTGTAATTCAGAAATTTTGAATGAACTTCCTAGCATAATTTACCAATAACTCCGTTGTAAGTAGTCTGCCCAGCTCTAGCAGCTACCTGCAGTCTTGTTTTTATAACATCAGCAGGTGTTACTAATCCAGCTGCAGGCACACCAGCAATGAATGCAGAACAGAATAATGATCCAGGTGAATTCATTCCATCCTCATCGGCTGTTGCCAACTTGGCATGCGCATAAGCAGGGAAATAGATGGCCGAGAATGGAATATCTCTTAAGAAGCACGCCCTGGATCCTTTGTAAAGTCCCAGGAATCCCAACTCTTTCAGAACACTCATAACTCCTATTTTTTTGCCCGCTTGCTGTCTTCTCCAGCCGTTTGAAGTCGGATTTTGACGATTTCCAGGGGATTAGTGAAGACAACTTGACACATTCCTCCAGTTCCTCCGGCGATGATTTCTCCGTACAGTGGAATTTTGCCGTCAGTTGTAAATTTGTCTCTCATAAAATCATTCATCGTAAGTTTGATAGCCTTCTCAGGAGCAACACCAACAATTTGTGGGAGAAGTCCACGGTAGAGACCCAAAAGACCTTCGAATTTCACAACTTTCTTGAAACAGTCCAACGAGTTTTTGTACATCACTTCGCCGACGAATGAGCCAGAAGTACGCTGGTTTTGCATGCGAGTTTTCACTAGATCAATTGGGTAAACAGCGGTGGCTCCGCATGCTCCAGCGATAGAACCCAATAGAAAACGATAGCCAGATTCGAGGAACTGAACAAAAAACAATTGGAATACTCAAAAAAGGAAGAATTTGAAATCTTACAGCCGTTCCGATTCCTCTCTCATCCTTATGATGCACAGCTTTGATGTTAATCAACCGATCCATCTGGGACACTCTCTTCAATCTCTCTGGATCGATTGCTTGAATATCCTTCAGACTCAACGTCTTTCGCCCCGGATGGTTAAGTTCCGATAGATGGAAGAGGATTTCGACTTCATACGGCGTCACTTGCGTGTAGCTTTGAATTGCATGAAGGAACTCTTCCTTAGTCATCTCGATGTCCAGATTTCCACGAGCATTCGAAACGTACACACGCTTGATCAACTCCATTTTGGCGAGAAGACTGTTGAAAGCAGCATAGTAAGGGAAGGTGACCTGGAAAAGGAATGAATGAGATTCCAGCGATTTTTTGAAGCCTTTGTTATTCAGCTGGAGGGATAAAATGTACAGGACATGGAAACTACAAGACAAATTGTATACATGCAACGAAAATCGAAGACAATATCCATTTGCTACACGGTCTTTCACTAGCGTTCGGCTAATTTTTTATTCTTTTTTCTCGCCTTCTCACTATCAGAGGGCAAAAGATACTATAGCAAATGATTATTTGTACAGAATTGATTAGGGAAACCAAAAAAAAAAACGAAAATGTTAAAACTTACAATCCCGCTGCGAGTATCGGAGAACTGGAAAACTTCAATGAACCCCTATTAGGCATGCTTCATGTGCTACTACAAACTACAAAAAAACTGCACAGTTGTACGTCACAACAACTGGAATTAAACTCACTTCCAGCACTAGGGAGTTCTAGAGAAAAAAAAAATCAAAACTCGAGATTTCTAGATTAACCAACGGAAAAAAGTTTTCAATCCTTTCACTCCTATACCTTATGTCCACTGGCTCCGCCTCCTGACACTGCGATCAAGTTGTGTCGTACGAAATCGGTGAGCAAATGACCTTTGACAGTAGTCATGATTTGCTGAAAATCCAGCGACGAGATGGTTCCATTGCCGTTTTTATCGTACTTTTTGAATGCCTGTATTCCCTGTTCTTCGTAGAAATCATGAAGAAGCTGACAGAACGAATGATAATTTACGTTGCGCTTTTTGTCGCTGAAAATGGAAACAATTCGAAAATAAGAAGTTTGAAAAAGACTTACGCTCCAAAATATCTCTTAATGAATTCAGAATTGAAATCGAAATCCTGATCATGAAGAGGTTGAGTATGCCGAATGACAGCTTCAAACTCATCACAACTGATAGTATCCGATGCGTTTCTATCGAACAACTCAAACGCCGTCAAGTACAATGCATCCGGACTGCAAAGAAGGGCTTCGAAAGCACAAAACTCTTCGAAAGAGATATCGCCGTCTTTTGTTGTATCAGCTGCAGATGCCAGAAGACGGACAGTTTCTTTGTTGTAGTTCTCTTCAGTGTAAAGACCCAAATACCCACGAATGAAATCTTCTGGAGTCATCAGCCTTTTTCCCTTGATCTCTTTTGATGCAAATCGATCGAAAATCGGACGAAGATGGTCCGGATTCGCCCGTGGGATGGCTGAAATTCTTGTCTTTTTTAACTTCCAAATTATCACTTACATCTTTGACTGATAGCAGTCTCGGCATTGCACTTTGCTGTGCGAAATGGCAATGCCGAGAAGACATCACTACCGCATCCCAAGTTCTGGTAAAGTTCTCGACGGCGTGAAGACGTTAGCAGATGGTCGAACGACGCCTTCTCATTTTGAAGCTGAGACATTCGCGAGAATCTGAAGCTGACACTTTATTTATCGAAAAAAGTAATTTTAAATGTTTTGCGAGATGCCTGAAAAGGCGCTCCAATGAGAAAGCAGAACACCGCGAGTTTTGAGTTTATTAATTCCAGACTTTTTATAATTCCAGACGAAAAAAAAACGATTGCAATCAAAATACACTACGCCAGTATCTGTCCAAAGAAACAAGTGATAAGACGAATTGAGCGTTCTCTAGTACATGTGAAAATCGGTCGCAGTGGGCGACGGATAGGTGCAAAAATGAAAATGAAACATGTGGCGAATTCAGCACAAAAACATCAGTAAGAACTACTCGAAAATCGGAGAAGAAAGCACATGATCAAGGTGGTAGCACATAATTGCCCAAGATATAAGACAACATTTCAACTAAAAATAAGGGAATTCGTAGTTTAGATTGATCATGCTTCTAATATTTGATAATATATCAAGGAGAAATGAAAGAAGAAATATGAGAGAATGAAATGAATATTGGACAGTTCTCATGCTCAATTACAAAGCAGGACTCAGTTCAGTTTTTTTATTGTGCGAAACACTAGGTAACATCATAACGAACTAGTGCGTTCAGCTGTTTGTTCCCTTCACCATTAAATATTTACCGATGGAATGAATCGGCGAAAAAAAGTGACAAAAAGAAGAGCTTCCAGTATATTGAGGGCGTCAACTGCTGGCCCTTCTGTGCTCTTCTTCCCGTGAGCTGATATTTCTATCCCTCTCTTTCTCTCGTTTTTTGAGACATAAGCTCATCTTTTCTTCCGAGTTTTCTTGTTTGTTGTGTAAGAGTAGAAGTGTGTTACGTGCTAGCTGTTGTTTGGGATAAGGAAAGAAGAAGAAGAAGTCTGGAGAGGATGAAAAGAAGACAGACATTTGAAAATACTGATTATATACTACTAGCTATTTCTTGAGCAATAATAAGTTTTGAGTATTATAAAAAAGGCAGTGGAGCTCATAACGAAGGAACTAGTTAAACCGTTAACATATGCAATGTTTTAGTAATTATAATGAGGACTAGCTTGATATTTTGGGAAAACTACTAAAATGATTATTATTATTATTTAAAAAAGATAATTGGAGAACTATTTAAATATTGCAATTGATTGCCTAACGAAGAAAATCTTTTTGGGTTCGATCGAGCTTACTTTGATGTGGAAAAAAAAACAACTCTGATAGCAATATTTACAGCAAGTTTCGTGTTTCGAAATTCTCGTATTTAAATATAAATTTGTTTTGAATAAATATAAATTTGTTTTGAAAAATTTGAGTTTTGGGAAAATCAAAAGCAATGAGATGTTTAACAAAAAACTCCAGAAGCCACCATGCATGTTATGGACTCTCTGCAGTACACAAAAAATAAACCAAAACCGTCGAAACACACGCAGGCAGGCACTGACAAAGTGTGTGTCTCGGACTGCCCACACCATGTGTCTGCATCTATTCCCTCAGCAGATTCTCTCGTTTTTCGTCAAGTCAGTGAACGGGCAGAGTGCGCCGCGCGTGTTTTTAGCATGATCAACATGAGGAGAAAATGGAGGATAAGAAGGAAGAAAAAAGTTTTCATGTAGAAGGGGACCAAGTTATAATTGGTTGGGTTATAGAAAAACAACTATGATTGTGAGAGGAAAACAATGGAAAAAAGACAAGTTCCTGTTAAACGTATCGAAAAATAGTCAACTAATAAAACATTCATCATAAAGTCAAGCATAATTTTCAGCTGAACATTTTTCGACGTCTTTCACAGAAACATAAATAAATTGACTGAATTTGACGAGCAGGGTACAACTCTTAAAAAGTTTACTGAATACCGGAATTGATCACAAAAAAATATTGAAACTTTCGAGACTTCTAAAACATATTGTTAAACATGGAATGATTGAATTCCACGAGACATACAGACTTAAACGAGAGAGTTTATACAAAAAAATATAGCTGGACTAGTTAGAAAAATTGTCTAATTCAGGAAAACAACAGGATAACTTTTGGACAGTTTGAGTCTGTTTTCAGTTTAATTCTGATAGTTAAGTGTAGAACAGTTCGTGAGGAATTCAACTGATATATGTGCTGTAGCTATTTTTGAGAACAACTGCAAAGCTTCAAAGTTTAAAAAAAATCAAAGCTGTTCGACTTTTCTGATTATTTCATAAAATTGAGAAAATAGAACTTCGTTTTTGAAGTATTAGGTTGGAAAATAAGTTTCTTCCGATTTTTCCGTAGCATCTAAAAAAATGGGGCGCAAACCAATTTTTGACATTACCAAAGGACCTCAATCCGTTCACAATATATATACTTGGTTGACTAATGGGCAATGCATATATAACATTTCGCAAGTAGTTTGAAACGGATTGGTTTCAACAGTATTCTTCAATAGTTCCAAGTCCAACTTTTGGACCGATCTTCGTCTTCCGATTCTACATTTTTGGCATCAAATGTATCGGTCTAATGCTTGATGGTATAGACAGTAGGAGATTCATCTTTACCTATTTCTTTCAATTTCTTGTGGATATCGTGGTTTTTCAAACCAGAAAGGAATAAAAGTAGAATGACATTTTGAAAGTGTAGACGGTAAGGGACGAAAGCAGGCGACAGGCTCGCGAACGACAAGAAGTAGGAATGAGGGAAAGTATTTAAAGCAAGTCCGTGAGATACTCTATCCAACAAAAAAACAGCTGCCAAGAAAAATCATCCCACTGACCAGATATCAATTCTCAAAGTTGAGCATTAAAAATAGGAAGAAACTTCTTTGCCAACCTAATAGTACTAAACCGTTGTAGTTTTTTCTGAAAAAATAATATGGTGGTCTGAAAAAAAAGGTCATAGTGAGGTGTATGCGCGATGTATAAGAAGATATCTCAAATAGGCATTTCCTATCATTCTCAGAAAAATATAACTTTGACCTAATTTATCAGAGCTCTGAACTTTGCAATTTATCATTGAAGAATTTGAATTGTAATATTTTTTAAATGTATTTTAGATTTTTCAAATTCGTTAATGAAATACTCTTGTCTATGTGGTTCTGAATGTTTAATAACTTGAAGGACATTGTGTATGTAAATTTTTTATAGTTTTCCAGATTTTCTTTTAAACCGGAGTCAAGAGGATTTTAAAGAATTTTTTCAATTATTTTCTGTTTTTTGAAAAGTCGATTCTATGAAGACACAAGGAAAATGAGTAGAACTTGAAAAACCATGTTCCATTAAAAACGGATTATCCTACTGTATCTCCCTTTTGATCTCTACGTTTGTCGAGTTCATGTTCACTGTTTGAATGGATCAACGGTGTATGAAAAAAATTCAAACTTGACACATTTTAGAGTATTTTTTAATTGGAGATGTACAAGACATGACGCTGTAGGCACCCTGAAAAAATTAACAACAAAGAGAAAATTTGAGGAATTGGTATACACTCAAAGGTAAACATACGAATAAGGAAAGCTTGAAAATTTGTTGGCTAGATGTTCTTGTTAACTTCAATCTTGTTAACTTTAAACAAAAATTCGCAAATAAGCTTTACACAACCTAAAAGTACGGTTTCAAAAAACATCGAAAGTCAATTGTTGAAAAAAGTTCAGGAAATATGAAACAAAAATAGAACGTCATTCTTAACCAACTTATGTTCCTTCCTTGAATTATAGGTCTCGTAAAGAAGCTGACGTCAATGGTAATTTTCAGTATTTTCGTGTCAGTTTGTTCGTATATATCTGAATAGGAAAGTTTTTTTTTTCAGAAAAAAAATCACCTACAAAAATAAAGCTCTTTTATTTCATGTGTTAGGTTCATTAATTTTTTCGAAACTTTGAAACTTGTTCAATGTTTGACCAATTAATCTGATCATTGGTGGCAGAATAAAATTTAATCCCTCCTTTTTTATATGTGAAAAATTTCCACTATATAAACCGTTACCAAATTAAAAACCTCACTATTATTTCAATTATACTTTCATAAAAACTTGCCTACAAAATATTGAACCTTCCGAATTTTCCTAAAAATTACAGGGTACTGAAACGGACATGTTGAAAGTCGTCTCAATTGTGTTGGCTACTATTGCTGTGGTAGTGTTAGGAAGACCTTCTGGAGAACAGATAACTGAGTCTGAATTCACGAATTTCGTATTCACTGTGGAAAAATTGGATCAAATTCTAAAGGCCTATGCTGCTTATAAACGTATGTCTGAAAAAACTTTATTACTGTGTTCCTTGAAACATGTATTTTACCAATTTTCATCTAAACCTGATTTTTTTAGAATTTAAAAATCCGATTTGATACAGTTTCCAATTTTTTCTTAAACTGACTGAAAGTTCAGAATTTATGCCATCATATGTGTGGGATCCAATCGAGAATATCACCGACGAGCAGAAGACACAAGCTGTACAAATGGTCAACGACTACCATGCTGGAAAATATGAACCAAAGAACTACGACGATATGATTGCAGTGTTAAAGAAAAGTTACCCAGCATTGGCTGGACCATACGAAACTATGTACGGAAAGTACAAGGAACAAGTTGCCAAACTAGGACCGAAGGGACAGGAATACTGTAACAATGTAAGCGGTTATTTCAGGTTTCTTATATGAGTTCTTCAAAGAGATATTTAGAAAAACTGAATTAACATTAATTTTTTTAGTAGCAGAATAATGAGAAAAATATCCTTTATCTCCTTCCATAGATAGTATTTTTGATGCAGTACCTAGTTTTCGCTTTCAGCTCGAAGCCCAGATGTACTCTGATGCCTCTCCAGACCGCGTTGTTTGGGCTTGCCACATTTTCAACAACGCCAAAAAAGCAGTTAGCGACGCTAAAGCCCTTTTGTTGGATGGTTCGGAAGAGCAAAAGATTGAAGAAGCATTCCCAGAAGCCGTTACATTCCTCAACAGCAAAGAATTCGAAGCCTACTCGATTGTTGTCAACAACTTGAAGACGTTGGATTGCGAGAAGGATCGCGAACAAGTGTTCAACACAATCAAGCTTTTTGATAAACATAATGTTCTCACCAATTGAACTGTGGGATAATTTTGCTCTGAAAAAACTATAGCAAATAAACCTGTTTTGACATTTTCCAGTGAAAAATAATTAAGAACAGCGCCGTAACTGAAACACAATAAATAGTCAGGTGTCTTTTCTATTTTCAGATAAACTGTACACAACAATCAATGTTATTGATCAGAATGCTTCTATTTTGGGACTCCAAAAAGACGTTCAGTTCAACAAAAGATGGGAGATGACAGATCATTAAATTTTTAAGTCACCAATAATCATAATTACTGCGATCGTTCAAATGACATCATCCTCACCTACTTTCATCAGGACGGGTAGGTTGGAGACAAGAAACATAGAAAAACGATATCTCGTTAACACTAACAAAATCTCTCTCCCTCTCTCTTTCTCTCTTTTTTTTCCATCTTACCCTTTTCTCTATTCGGAAATGACCGGTTCCCAAAAATTTCATACGTTGAGTCCTTTTCATTCATAAATAAATGTTGATGTGTCAAAGCACCTTCAACAAAAAAGTATATGATAATTGTGCCGCCTTATTGGTCTACAGACACGCAGTCTGAAGGCGGAACCGACCGTTTCAGACTACATCTCTTCTCTTTTATTCTGACGTCACAATATTTTTAAGGTACACTCTCAAACAAAAAAGAAAAAAAGAATAACAACAACCGAACCCCAGACTGATTTGATACGTGTCTCCTTCTTCTGGATCCCTGACTACATATAAATATGTCACAAAAACCAGGCACCCATCTGTCTAGCAATTTATTTTCGATCCTATTCATCTTCGTTCTTCCAAATTTTTCCAAATTTTCTACTCTCTTTTTGGAATCCCTACATTTACCATCATGGCAATCCTTTTCCTTACTTATTTTGTGATTTTTATAACAGGTGATTTTGTAAAAATTTAATTTGTTTTAAAATGTATCATGTCTTACTTTTTCAGCTCAAATTCAATGTCGGGAGCTTATGATTCGAAGAGCCTGCCAAACCGATCCGACATTTTCTTTCTGTCGTCATCGTAAGTGTTTCTGAAGTCAGCAACGATTTTCCAATAAGTAGACAACTTTAGACACGAAAACTTCTGAAATCCGATCAGAAGCTCAAAAAAAGCGAGATGTCTTCTTACAGTGGTCATATGTGGCAGCGAAAGATGACCAGGATATAGAAGATGTCGATGAGTTGGAACCCACAAGAAAGAATCAATATAGTGTTCCGGATTACTGTACTCGATATGCTGAGAATTTCAAAGCATACTGTATCAATGGACAGTTGACAAAATTAGAGGGGTTGCTGACTCATTTTTGTGGAAGTTATATGAAAAATTGTAATGTGGCGGGCAAGGTCCAAAAAATAACAGAAAACGGAAGACCGGAAAAGTGAGTTGAAATTAGTTTCGAATGCATTTTCATGTTTTTCCTGTTTCTAGAATCTTTCCGACGTCGAAACCATTGTTCTCGACGACCACATCAAAACCAAACTATTGCGATGGAATCTCTGAAAAATACAAAATGAAATGCGAAAAAGAAGGATTCCTGCCAAAGTTTTTCTGTAGAAAGTATCTTGAGTTGTGCGGAAAACCGGAAAAAGTGGATGCAGATACCACGAAAAGCGTAGTCGATGACGATACGGATTCATTGTGAGTTTTTATTATGATCGTCCCAAAAAAGGACTTATTTGTACAGTACCGCCCCGACGGTTGCTAAGATTCGCTATTTTCAGTTCAAAAATGTAGATTAAGGCGTCTGAAACGGTGTTCTGACTTCTTTTTTGATTTTTAATATACGCCTTATTTGCATAGTTTCTCTCTGATCTGCTTAAACAAGCTGAAATGAGCTCAAAGAACATGGTACCAAAATCTGAAACCTATTTTGCATTAAAAATGTGTTGGTTTCCAGAGAAACTCCTGACGAGTTTGAGGAACACCAAAAAAGTCCGTCTGAAAAAGTATCTCCAAAAGAAGACAAGGACTCAGTTTCGGAGGCACAAGATGTTAGAATCGATGAAGTGACGGCATATTGCACTAATTATGTTGAAAATTATAACTTTTATTGCGTTGGAGACATGGATCCAGATCACGGAAAGTTTTGCGATTCCTATAGAAGAAACTGTCCGGATCGAGTTTCGTAAGTCAGGACACTGTTATGGCAATTGAATATACTTCGATAATTGTAGCTTTACATTTAAAAATAATTCTGGCTTTAATTTTTTGTCATGCTTTATGTGATATATATTTTTATTTGACTGAATGAAGAATAACTTTTTTGTTTTGGTTGGAATGTTTAGCATGATTCTTTTTAGATATTTTGAGAAAACACATTCACCTGTTTTCCAGAAAAGTAAACATTTATTTCAGATATCTTCCAATCGTACGCATTTCTTGTTCTCAACAATTTCATCTTGAGTCTTCAATGAAGGTTGTAGAGAGATTTCTGAGTCGATGTCATAAGGAGATGACATTCATTTACCGTAATTGAACACCATCCTCTAATAGAACGTTCTCAGAGCTGTGCTTTGAAAAATAAAACGTTACTCTCCAATTGAATGCCATCCTCTAATAGTGTACCACAACACGAGTACATTTCCGGTCACCTGTTAATGTTTAGTTCCAGTACTGACCAAAAAGAGATGTTTAAACAATGACGGTAGTTGAAAATAGTCAATTTCAAATGTTTTTGCTGCAAAAGTCCGAAGATTGAGCTTACAAGATTTCAGAAAGTTATGCTTCGAGCTCAAGAAATGTGAACTTATCATCTCTACACTTCTTGATACACTTTTTGATCTACCAAAGATGTTAGTTATACTAATCTTGGAAAATAATTATGTGATCTCTGAATAACTTGAACTTATGATCTCTGGTCTTGAATACATTTTTGATCTACCGAAGAAAGAAATTCTGGAAGAAAATACCGACAAAACCACAGAGTGGAACTGCTATGGTTCGCGGTTACACTGTAATCAGAAGGGGAGTAACAATTTTAAATTCCCAATACCAATATCGATTTCTAATACTTCCAAAATTTTTGAAATCAATGTTCCTCAAGGGAATTCTAATTTTTGTTTTGTTTAGTTACAAAATTTTCTTCTCTAACTGATCTTGTTTTCATTCGTATTCTTGTTTATCGTACGTTAGTTTTTAGGTTAGTTCGGTGAACATTCAAAAAATTCAAACATTCGAAACATTCAAAAAATGTTAATTTTTATCTGTAGGATTGCTGCTTAGGCTTAGGCTCAGGCGCAGGCTTTGCCTGCGCCATTTAGGATGAGGCACGGAGGACGTTAGCTTAGGCTTCGGCTTAGGCTCAGGCGCAGGCGCAGCCTGCGCTATTTGGCGTGAGGTAAAGGGGGTCACCATCTCCAAATCGGCCCAAATTTTCAGAATAGGTAGCTCTCAAAAAATAAAAAATATAGATTTTTTTAAATTCCCAAAATGGTCCACCCCAAAGACGGTACGCCCCATACAAACTTTTTTTCGAAATTTTTATTTTGGTCATAACTTTTTTTGTAGTAGAGCTATTGGGGAGTACTTTTTTGCATTAGGGTCCATATTGGATGGGCAGTACGCTGACATTTTTTTTGATCTACTAAAATTTTTCTGGTAGATCAAAACTGAAAAATTTTTTTTTTTAACGGTCATAACTCAATTTTGATCAGGACACGACTATATTTTGAATAGTCAGTACTGGAACTAAACATTAACAGGTGACCGGAAATGTACTCGTGTTGTGGTACACTATTAGAGGATGGCATTCAATTGGAGAGTAACGTTTTATTTTTCAAAGCACAGCTCTGAGAACGTTCTATTAGAGGATGGTGTTCAATTACGGTAAATGAATGTCATCTCCTTATGACATCGACTCAGAAATCTCTCTACAACCTTCATTGAAGACTCAAGATGAAATTGTTGAGAACAAGAAATGCGTACGATTGGAAGATATCTGAAATAAATGTTTACTTTTCTGGAAAACAGGTGAATGTGTTTTCTCAAAATATCTAAAAAGAATCATGCTAAACATTCCAACCAAAACAAAAAAGTTATTCTTCATTCAGTCAAATAAAAATATATATCACATAAAGCATGACAAAAAATTAAAGCCAGAATTATTTTTAAATGTAAAGCTACAATTATCGAAGTATATTCAATTGCCATAACAGTGTCCTGACTTACGAAACTCGATCCGGACAGTTTCTTCTATAGGAATCGCAAAACTTTCCGTGATCTGGATCCATGTCTCCAACGCAATAAAAGTTATAATTTTCAACATAATTAGTGCAATATGCCGTCACTTCATCGATTCTAACATCTTGTGCCTCCGAAACTGAGTCCTTGTCTTAGGCTTAGGCTCAGGCTCAGGCGCAGGCGCAGCCTGCGCTATTTGGCGTGAGGTAAGGGGGGTCACCATCTCCAAATCGGTCCAAACTTTCAGATTAGATAGCTTGCAAAAAATTAGGGGGACATACCCCTTTTAGATTTTTGATATGGTCCACCCCAAAGGCGGTACGCCCCATACAAACTTTTTTAAAAATTTGGTTTTTTGGTCATAACTTTTTTCGTAGTTGAGCTTTTGGGAAGTACTTTTTTGCATTAGGGTCTATATTGGACGGGCAGTACGCTGACATATTTTTTGATCTACCAAAATTTTTCTGGTAGGTCAAAACTAAAAACAAAAATTTTCAAATGAGCAAAAACCCGAAAACGATTCGACCAACATATACTTTTTGATAGCTCGTTGGATAGCATTTTTTAAGTACTATCTTATGAGCAAATAAAAAAAGTAGGTCACAATCCTCGTTAAGTAGGTCAAATTTGTTTTTGGCCCATAACTCGGGAACGGTGGCCGCAATCAAAATGGTCCAAACAGTAAAGTTGTACAGTTTGGTTTTTTACATCTTTTGGTAGTATTACATTTTTGGTCCATTGTGGCTGGGGCGACTTAGGCGCGTTTGAAAAAAAAGTTGTTGCCCCATGGTACGCTATTGCTCAAAAATGAATTATTCCCAGCAGTGGAGACTATATACATTTGAAAGCCCTTTATTTGTTTAGTATTAACTGAGCATTTCATAAAATTCTGATAGAAACTTTTTTTTTTTTTGAGTTCGAAAATATCAATTTTTCAGTTTTTTGCCTATAACTTGGTAGCGGCGGCCTTAATCAAAAAAGTGCTAATAATAAAAGTTGTAGAACATTTGATTCTGCACATTTTGTTAGTACTTCATTTTTTGATACTGTAAAGCTGGGGCGACTTAGACGCGTTTGAATTTTTTGGAATTTTTGTATGTAATTTTTAAAGCTGAATTGCTCAAAAATGGCATTCGTTCGCAGATGACACTATTTTTTTTGAAAGCCCGAGGTTTGATTAGCTAAATTCGGAAGTTTAATCAAAATCTGAAAAAAATTTTCGAGGATTTTTTTTTTGAAAAAATTTTTTCAANAATTTTTTCAAAAAAAAGTAGTTTTTTCATTTTTCAGTATTTTAGAAACACGGTACCCTTCTGACATGAATTGTAAAATTTTAGAGCACTCAGAAATACACATTTAAACTTTTGTTTCAAAAAGATTGGTCCATTTTGAGCCGAGTTATGGCGCTTCAAATAGTGAAAATTCACTTTTGGCTTCAAAATGGAATTTTTTAAAATCTCAAAAACCCCCCAGTTCGATTCCCTGAGTATGTAACTATCTTTTGCTTTGTGTGTACATCATTTTTGGCAAAAAAAATTTCGAAAAATTCCATCCCTTGACCGTTTTTCAGACACCCCTAGTACACTATTATGCCTAAGCCGTAGCGTCAAGCCTAAGCCTAAGCAGTAGTGTCAAGGCTAAGCCTAATTAGTAGTACCATTCAAATTTTATGGCGGGAAATTCAAAATTTTGGATTTTGGCGGGAAATTCAAATTTTCGAATCTCTTGCCAGGAACGGTGCGCAGCACCGTGACTTAGATTGCGTTTACGGTGACGCTGAGCGAAGCGAAGCGTCACCGTGAAGGTCACAAAAATAGAACACTCTTCACTCTTCTTTCTACTCTCTTATACCTTTTTTTACGCTTTTACTTTTTTCTATCTTCCCTTTTTTCTTCTCTCTTTTTTTCTTTTCTCTCTTTCTCTCTCTCTCTCTCTCACT